ACTGCTTGGTGGGCTTCTCCAGGCTGCCATCTTTTTTTTTTTTTAAATAATTATAATGAACATTTACAGAAAATTTGGATTTCCATTCATTCATTGCTGCACTTCTCTCCCCGCCCAGCCCTCTCTCCCCACCCCCCAGTTTGCTCCTCTCTTTCAAAAGTAAAAGACAGACTCCCTCCCTGGTACACAATCCCCCCGCACCCTTCCCACCGCCCCAAGTACATTCCACTATGCAACCTTAATTGTGGACTCTTGTGATAACCATAATACCCTATCATACATCGCTTTCAAATTATTCTCTCCCTCATCTCTTTCAATGCAGTATACACAATTTATCCAGTTTTTCTCAGTTTTACCCCCACCCTGATATCAGTCCCATTTTACAGCAGTGGCACGATGCAATATTTTTCCTTTTGCGACTGAGATATTTCACTCAGCATAATGTCCTCCAGGCTCACCCATTTTGAATAATACTGAATGAGTTCCTTGTTTTTCAATGCAGCATAGTATTCCATTGTGTGACTATACCACAGCTTCTCTACCCATTCGTTTGTTGATGGGCCAGGCTACCATCTTGATGGAGGTCTACTGCCATATCTTTTCTTCCATGGTACTGGTTGACAAAAAGGCTGGCATGTGAGTGCTTCAAAGGCACCTACTAGAAATTCAAGCTGGATTCAGAAGAGGCTACAGCAGCTATATCACTGCTGATGTCAGATGGATGGTAGCTGACAGCAGAGAATACTAGATGTTTACCTGTTTTATTGACTATGAAAAGGCATTAGACTGTGTGGATCATAAAAACACTACAGCTAATACTGGAAAGAATGGGAGTCCCAGAACACTTGATTATGCTCTTGCAAAACCTATACCTAGACCAAGAAGCTATTGTACAAACAGAGCAAGGGAACATGGCACGATTTAAAATCAAGAAAGATGTGTGTCTGTTAGGGCTGTATCCAGGGTACTGAAGAGCAATGGTGTCACTCTGGAGACTAAGGTGTGTCTGATACAGGCCATGGTCTTTGCAATCA